CTTTCATGTCATACCCCACACTGCCCTCTGCAGCAAATGCTACTGGTCGCACCAACCAAAATCCTATTCTACCTGAAAGAGAACGAGGTATGTATGATCATTTGCGGGTTGTTTTGTTTTTGTATGATTGCTAGGCAACGGCACTGCTAGCTCGTATCGGAGTGGCGTACAGTAGCGTACACCATACGTGCGGTTCGTCGTGTGAGGATTGGTTTAGTGAGCTATTCGAAGTGGCGTACAGTAGCGTACACCATACGTGCGGTTCGTCGTGTGAGGATTGGTTTAGTGAGCTATTCGAAGTGGCTTCATGTGCAGAGGTTCGCCTGCATGGATATGTATCTGTGACCTAGTTCAATTGCAACGATACGCACTCTAGTGCGTGTGTGTGTGTTCGTGTGTTCGTGTGTGCATGTGTTCGTTTGTGTGTGTGCATTCGTTCGTGTGTGTACGTGTAGGTGTGTATGTAGATCTGAGTGACTGTTGACACCGATTGTACGGCATCGCATCCGTTTCTGAAGGCTCCGGCCACAACATCTGGAAGTATTGAGTGCCTATAAGCACATAAGAACCCCCCCCCATATGGCGTAACCACTTAAGATTACCACTTACATACCCCAATAAGGCATAACCACTTACGATCACCACTAACATACACCCCATATGTATCGCTTCTCAACCACCCCGCCCTAATCCATTTCGCAGGAAACATTTAAAACATTTATGGAGCTGGAAGAGGAATCCGTGGGCTACGATTTAATCATGGAAACCATTAGTTGTAAGTCAACCATGTATATTTAAGTCAAGCATTTATTTTTATGTCAACCATGTATATTGAAATTCTATCCGTTCTGGCGCCAATACAAATTCGATCGACCTAATTGTCTGACTGTGTGACCACTCTGTTATACGCAATAGTGAAATCTCGATGAATCGTCTGAGTCCTAGTACCCATACCCTGCTTGTTCTAACACTGATTCCCATTTTAATCCACCCTATTTTCTTCCCATCACCCCGTTTGTTCTAACCTTGATTCCCATTTACTCGACCTGATTTTTTCTGGCGTGGGCTCCAAAATTCATAACAGGCAACAGCGAAACAGCAATGAAACATTTAGTAGTGGAGCAGATGGGCAAGATGGGGCTGCTGAGTCAGATCATCGAACGGTGTGTGCGCGAAGACGAGGACTCGTCATCGGGTGCCGTGACGGCGTTAGATAGAATATTAGAAGGTAAGGTAGTGCTTGCATGTGGGGCTCTGTTTGTGATGTATAAATATATGTATATATATAGGTATATGTATTTGTATTTGTATATGTCTATATATATAATATATATTCAGCTTCTTGTATGATTTGTTTTCTCGGCATTGTGCATCTGCCTTTTTATTCTTCTTAAACAAGTACAATCCACTTCAACGACTTCATACCAACCGATATCCCTTTTTGTATATTTATTCTAATTTTAGAATCAGGCAAAGGCGTCGGATACCACAAAGTTATTGGGCCGGAAGAGGCGATAAAAACTCGTCTATCCGAGTTAGTCGATGTATGCCAGATTTATGGGATGAGTGCTTGGGTTGTAGTTTCTGCTTCAGAGTTTAACACTTGCGTTTGATTTATATGGGAATAGACCTCTGTATATCTATATCTATATCTACATCTGTATGTATATATATATAAATACATATATGTGTGTGTGTCTCTGTCTCTGTCTGTGTCTGTGTATGCGTGTATATATGTGTTTATACAGCATTGAACCAGGCTCCCGCTTTGTGGGCTATAATGGGTACGTGCACCACAACAGTGACGTTATGCATGGGTATCCCTGGGAGGTCTACCCACAACAATGACTTTATGCATGGGTGGCCCTGGGAGGATTACCCACAGCAGTGACGTTGTGCATGGGTATCCCTGGGAGGTCTACCCACAACAATGACGTTATGCATGGGTGG